CAGAGCTGGAGCCTTTTTATAGACTGACAGGGAAACGTTCTCCTTCTGCTTTACAATTATCTGACTTGGTTTATCACAAGTAATCCTGATTAAAATTTGTGGTTTTAACATAAAATATGGTAACGTTGGGGTATGAATACTTCTGCAAAGTGCTGTATTGCTCCTAAATTAGTCATTAACAGACGGAAAGGAAACCTCAAAGTGACCTCTGCTGATGAGCAAAGGCATTCAGTCCACCTGCAGCCGAATCCTCCGCCTCCCGCAGAGGACTGGAATGATGGGAGTCCTGCAGAGCCTGCCGTCACTCCATCATAAATTGAATTATGATAGGTTGGAGTTAGTCAGAGAGCTCTGGGACTCGCGGCAGGGACTGGATGGGCGATGATGACATATCTGTTGGAGAGAGGGATCCTGTGACGGAGGGGCCGCGCTGCCATTCCCAATCCTGGATTTATGTTGAAAGGAGGCAATGGCGGCCTCCCAAGAGCTGCAAATCGTCTCCTTGTCCTTTCTGCATGTCAGCGCTGCTTTAAGTCAAACTCAGGATGTGTGAACACACACCAAACGACGCATTGGCTCCTCTCAAACCCGCACTCACTCATCTTTTGTTTTACAAAAAGCTTTCTGTGAGGTTTTATGTTCCCTTTTACATCTTTTCCTTTATCTATTTCCTCAAAGGGAAGTCGTTTCAAACCTCATCTGTCTTTCTGAGACGAGGAAACTCTGCTTTATGAGGAACAGACCCTTTTTCTCAGCTCAGAGGACAGAAAGGGGCTGCAGCATTTACCGGGCTCTCATAAAGGAGTGTGCTGGTGCACACGGCGTGCACGTGTGTGACCTCACCAGCAGCTGCCCGCTAATCGTTGGTGCACCTGCCTTTTTAACCGGGACAATCCCTTTGCTCCTATTGGTCTCTTTCAAATTTAAACACTCGCTGATGCTGGAGCTACTTCAGAAACTCTGTGTGCTCCTTCAACTGGCAACCCCACTTCAAAACCCAACAAATCAGAGGGAGTCCGTTTCGTTTTTTCCCCTCTTTCTCCAGTGAGCATTTTATGATTCCAATAATTAGGCACCTGTTGGGTTCATCTGCTGCAAATACATGGACGACAGGGATTTCAGGGTGGAGCGGTGTGTCTGTTTTAGCCCACAGAGTCTCTGGTTCTAAATGTTTTTGATTGGAGCAGCGGACAGGTTAGTTAACGCTGGACGGAGGGAGAGGCCGGGTGGCTTTAGCGGCTTTGCGAGTCTGAGCAGACGGAACGTGCCAGGGGTTTGAGCTGCAGTTCGAGACCGGCCGAGGGTTTGCGGGGGGATTTACTCTCTCACACTCGCAGCCTGTTTCAAAGGGTTTATTCTTTATCCGACTCTGGAGGGTTTCATCTGATGTCTGCAGAGAAAAGGGTGATCTCACCGAGATAGGAGAGGAACGGAGATGACATGAGTATGTGTAGATATGAAGGGAAGTGTTCGGATGAGATTAGCTGAGGAGGCAGAAGGTAGAGGAGGATATCCAGGGAGATTTTGCACTGAAGAGATAAAACTGGAGCAGAGAGAGAGGGAGATGTTTGAAAGGGAGAGATGGGCTCAGAAGGATCTTTATGCTGGATGTTTTGGTCCAATCTGGAGTCTGGGAAAAACTCGCATTCCAGGCAACTCAGCCAAAACAAAATCTGGGTTGGTCCCAAGAGGCCCGTCCCTTTAAGTCACAGGTACTTTGGGTCACCAGGACATTTCAGCTGGTACCAAACAGCCTCACAGGACTTCAACACTACTAAGCTTCCTTATATGGAACCTGGGATAATACGCCCGAATATGAGGGATCATTTAAGGCGGCTCTGTAGGCGCACAGGGCAACTGTGGCTCTGTGGGTAGAGCCGTCGCCTTGTGATCGGAAGGTTGTAGGTCTGATTCCAGCTTCGTCCTCCCACATGTCAATGTGCCCTAGGCACCCACCGATCTGTGTATCAGTGAATAAATGTGTGCGTGAATGAATGTGACTCTAGTGTAAAGTGCTGTGAGTGGTCAAAATGACTGGAAAAGCTCTATATAAGTTCAGTCCATTCATCATTTACATGTACCACTAATACAGAATCCTGACGTACGGCAGCAATAACCCAATCACACTGTTACTTAACCTCAGATACTCTGTCTGCATTCACATCATACCTCAGCATGCTAAATGCTTGAATTACCTGGACCTCTTTCTGAGTCCTAATAGACTGTATATATAAAATCATTTAGTGAATTGTTATATAACAAGACATCAATGACAAAAAACATCCAGATCCAGAAAGAAACTGTGAACTTCACACTTCACACCCTTCATCCCAATATACACTCACTAACAGAGATGTGTTGTAACTACTTACATTTACTGAGTTACATTTGGTTTTGGAAAAAATATATTTTTAGGAGTAGATTCACTACTATTTACTTTTACTTGATAGATATCTTTGTGAAGTATTCATATTGTAACCCTTGGCTGTGAGAGTCGAGTCCTCGTTGTTCCCTGGACTCTGCGTTGTGTACTCTTTAAGGTTTTCGTCGGAAGGAAACAAGACTCTGACACACTGCGGTTTGGGATCGTGGTTGTGACCGTTTATTCGGACCACCTGACAGCGATGCGGCTTCGCCCTTTAGAATGCAGAGCAGAAACTGCTCGTCAACTTTCATTAACGCAGTTTTTTTTTTCTTTTGATTTACAGATGCAGAATATATATATAAAAAAAGAAGACAAAATGATACAAAACTAACAATGATACAAAACTAACTAGCTGAACATTAAAAGTAACATTTTGTTACATTGAGGAGCTGGCGGTCAGTATTGCCTACCTTTAGAATGCAGAGCAGAAACTGGCCGTTGTATTACCAGCGCACACTAACGAATGCCAAGTACGGTGTCCTTCAGAGGACATACTCCACAAAGCTCCACAACACAAAGAGAAAATCCAACACTGACATGCGCCGACACATTCAAGCACTTCCCTACAATATTATTTGAGTAAAATTTCTGGATACTCCACCAACTGAGTACTTTCACTGAATAAGGAACAAGCATTTTTATTTTATAAGTTTTACACTATAAAATATTGACTTGTAGACGTGTCTTCCACTTAAAATTAGACAATTTCTAAATGTGTATCTTCTTTTTTCATTTTGATATTTAAAATACCAGAATCTGCACATAACTTTATATTTTTTCTGCTCAGCACTTGATTTGGATTTTTACAAGCACTGGGATTTTAATGAAACACACACAACAAATCCCATTTAAAAAACTTCCACTTTAAATTCCTCCATGTTTTCTGAAGTTAAATGAAACTAATCTTTGTGTTTTTTTTAGTAATCACATTTCTTGGCCTTGCAGATGTATATTTTAAATAAATCTACCTTGACACACCTCACTGTAGGACAGAAAGATGAAAAAACTACAAAATAAAAGTGATAATGTTTAAGTGATTTTCAATCAGAGCAGCTTAATGTTGGTTGTGATGTTATAAAACTTCCCTCCATCATTTTTCATCCTGAAACTCCAACAATCTGGAGGAGGATCCATCTACACAGATGATCTAGTTAGAAAACTTTCTAATCAGTTTAATTTCTTCATTTCAAATCTAATTTTAGAACTTCAACCATCCGGAGCAACTGCTGAAAATCAATTTTCCTCTTGGGGATTATCAAAGTTCCTCTGATTCCCATCTCAGCACAGCTCCAGGACGGCTGTCTAAGTTTAGAATGTAATTTATGAACCGGCATGCAGTCGGCCACCCTCTTTCCCGAACTGTGTCACAGAAAGATTTACACCCTGTTTGTGCCTCCTAATGGGTTTTAGTCACTTTCTAATATCAGACCGCTGGATGAATCCGAGGATCGCTTCTTTAGATCACATAGAAATTCAGAAAAACAGGAAACAGCACAATGTTTTTCACTGGTTACCATGGTTACCCACATACATCAGTCATTTTAATTCATTTAAAATTTGACTCCAAATGCCAAATAATACAAATTCTGATAGCTCATCTTTGTTATTTGAGTCATAAATCTTTCTGAGGCCAAGAAACGCCACACTGGTAAATTTTATCCATTTGATGTGTTGAAGTTTTTACTACATTTCCTGAAAACGCCCCAAAAGCCCCCCAAAAGCCATGTTTTCATCTTTGTATGTTTTTCTTGGCTGTCTGCGTGAAGCGTGATCCCATTAAGAGGGAGAATCGTTGCTTCCAAGTCAAACACTGAGCTCGTATTAATCAAAGATGGGAATCCTGGCAGCTTTCTCCACTCTGAGCTGGATTTCTGTCTGTCCTCATGTCAGCAGGAGTTTATGAAGGAAACAGAAAGCTGCAGTGGACTGACCCAAAGTTTAAAATTCTCTGTTTGTTTCACTTGACTTAAAACTAGTGGAGGGTTAACATTTTGAATTGAGTTAATTGCAGGGTCTGTAATTAATTAATTAACTGTGATTAATAGCATTTTAATGAAAAACTGCATATGGACAAAATAAGCAACATTTTAATGGCAGTGATGACTGCAGACGCCGGCATCAGTGTTGGGGACGTCTGTGCTGCTGCAACATGTTTAACATTGAGATGCTCTTTTAGTCTTGAATAGCTGCACAACTTGAACACAACAATAATCTTTTCCAACATCGTATCAGATCATTTTTTGAAAAATGAACCCCCAGTGGACCAAGAGAAGCAGCTTGTGTCGCTTGTGCATCAGATTTACAGTCGTACCAGAAACATGGCTTAGGATTTTTGTATGTAAATTTTTTTTTAAATGGAATAATTGTGGTCACATTCATTTAAAACACTTTAAAATCTATGAAATTAATTAATCAAAATGAACGTGTTAAAGTCCCAGCTCTACTTTAAGCTAAAACCTGTAACACGAACAATGGAAGATAACAGAATTATTATTCCTTAAATGTATAAAAGCACAAACACACACACACACACACACACACACACACACACACACACACAAACACCCATGCTCATATCAAAGGGAAACTTAGAGAGACCAATTGACCTAACAGTCACGGTTTTGGTTTTGGGCTGTAAGAGGAAACTGGAGTACCCAGAGAGAACATGCTCAGGGAGAACATGCACACCCTGCAGAAAGACCTCAGGCCAGGATTCAAACCCAGGACCCTGTTGGTGGAAGGAAACACCAAATGTTCCACCAGAACACGTCCTCTATGTCCATATGGCTGCAATGACTACAAATTGCTGCTTTTCACAAATTTCTGCCAGTTTGAGCATAGAAACGGGACAAAGGGAGTTAGAGAGCAGTTTAATCAACAGCCTGGCCGTGATATAATATAGTGACCAGACAGAGGAAATAACAACTAAACAACTAAAAGAGCAGATTAGAAATTATGCCATCATTCAGAAACAGGAAAGGTTTTACCTTTCCGAGCTGATTTACTCTGCCAATCTTTCAGAGCAACAGTGAATTTCTGCCTTCAGATGGTTTAATGAGATGTTATTCTCCCGTCAGGAGCTACCACATAATCCAATCCGTCCCTGAGGAAAACGCTGTGCAGCTCTTTGATGTCTCCACCAAACCCCGGAACGTCAGCGGTCCTGATAGGTGACAGAGATTGCCTCTCCTCCCGGTCGCCGTGTTTTGGTATGAGCTAAATGAACTGCTCCAGCTCCGTCGTGGCGACAGCTGGATTAGACCTGCTCCCCACCCGGAGCCGGGCCGGCGGAGAGGTGTTTGCAGCCTGGAGGCTTTCCAATCAGCCTTCATCCCACCGTCCTCCAGGACAGACACACGCAGAGGCCGCCCTTCGTGATTAAAGCTCCGCTGTGCCTGACTCATGCAATCCGAGTCCTGCAGGCTTCACAACAGCTGGAATTACTCAGTTGCTCAACCTCGCTCCCTGTGTCGAGCAAAGTCCTGCGGTGTGCACGAGTGTGTGAGTGCGAGAGTGACAGCTAACCGAGGGAACGCGATATATTAAACGACCTTTGTGGCTTGTTGGATTTCAGGCCTTTGGGGGACAGCCTCAGTCACTGCTGCCAACATCCACTATATCTGCTGTGCCGTTAAAAGGAGGAGATAATCAATCACCGGACGCCCGAGGCGACAGAGATGTTCCCATACCTGACACCTTTAAAAGCTTGGCTATATATTGTAAAGAATCCAAACTTGTCACAGCAAAGCAGAATCCAGAGGAAACAAACACACTGCATGGATCCCTGTCCTCACTCTCAGAGGGAAATCTCTAACATCGAGTTGTAGAAGTGTGGAAGAACTGAATCAAGCTCATAGAAAATAAATTCCTCTGAAGATTCCTGAGAAGTTTCTGCTCCTGCTTCAGCCTTTCGACATCAGACATATTTGTCTGACCCCCAGAGTCACTCAGCACTCACCTGCTTCCTGAAATGACCTCAGATCAGCCTCAGGAAGGAGAACAGGTAATGAACCATCAACCCTAAAGAAATATTACTATCAGATTTTCATCATAAATATTTATCAGCTCACATAAATTATTGGTGTCATTCTCTGAGTGCTTCTCGAGAACCACCATCTCTGAGCAGAGTCTTCGTCCTCTAGATCTACTGTCCTGCAGCTTCTAGATGCACCGAGCTTCTCACTCCATCTCTGAGGCAGAACCCAGACGGCCTGAGAAGGAAACTCACTCTGAGGTCTCATTCTTTCAGTCACTGCCTAGAACAGTGACTGATATTTTGCTCAAATACTTATTTGATGCAACTGTAATCAGACTTATGTATGAACGGTTTATGGTCCCAAAGCGCTTTGAAAACTATTGGATAGGCATCTGAATTAGTACCAAACAAGGACATGGCACAAATCAATTTTTTTCAGGGTGTAAAGTTTGGAATTGGGTCATCCTGAATGCTGGAAAAAAGTTGCATTTGGGTCACATTTGCCTGCAGTACAGCAGTATAGCCACAGACAAGGGTAGGAACACATGTTGACCAGTAAGTCGAAAGTTTCACCTTTCGGCTCGGATCTCTCTTTCTCTGACCGACACAGAGCTGCATCACTGCATGCGCAGCAACAATCGTCTTTCCCTCTCTGCGTTTCTCTCATTCATGAACAAAACCTGAACTCCACTTGGGGCTGTTCTGTCACCACTGAGACAGCATCAAGATGCGCTGGTCGCCAACGGGAAAACAGTCCAAGAACACAATTTCAAACCACATTCATGCCTCAGACTGATGTTTGCAGGAAGGTCACTCCTGAATCAGATGAGTGGTTAATGACCAGACCTTTGCCTATCTTGGCTGAATTCAGCCTTTTGAGTTGCAGACTTTCTGCTTCACAGAAACCAGAGAACACACTGAACAGAGGCCGTGGGACACAATGGAGGAGCGTTTTGACCTGCCTGGTCAGTTCACTGCTTTCTTGGATAAAACTATTTCAAAAGGAAAAGGTTTTTTTCCCCACTCTTTTATCATTTTTGTTCTAAATGTGAGGCAAAATGGATGAACAAACTCATCTTTCAGCAGGAGGAAGACGCTGTGAGTGAAATGGCTGATGGGAACTGGCAGATGAGGCTTTCAGGGGCCGTGTGTGTTTGAGCGCTCGTGTGCTGCATTGTCCTCGCTGAATGGAAGCCCAGCTGCAACCCTAATCTACATAATGGGAGGGCTGCAGCGAATAAACAGCATGAGAAACCCAATCCAGCTTTCCAATCTAATTCAATCTTTACGTAGCTACGATTACCAAATCCTACAGCGGACTGATGGATGTTCTCAGCTTCAGCAGGAAAACACTGTGATGCAAAGAAGTTTTGTTTCAGTGAGGAGATAAAGCAAAATGTTCCTCAGCTTTTGGATAAATATGTTTGATTTGTGTTCTATTTGAAAATCTGAAGCACAGATCAGCTCTCCTCGAGTCCCAGAGGAAGAAAAAGGTGAAACAGAGGAATATGGCCTCAAATGTCAGAGCCGCAGGGCTTTTTCAGCGAAAGGGAAAGTTTCATGGAGCGTTACACATAGAAATGTGATGTAAAGAGCTGATGTGGCTCATTTTTCAGAATCACAAAGAGGCTGAGGCTACTCTACATGATGTAAGTCTATGTCAGTCCTTGGTAGCGCTCCGCTCCTCTGCACAGGCCCCGGTTTGTGGGGGCAGATGTGATTTAGATGCCCCCACCCTGAGGAACAGGAGTCCTTCTTTTCTGCAGACTGCCCAGCATAATACAGTAGAAACAACAGAAGAAGGGGCCTGGCTTCTACACAAATCTGCTTGAAGCTGTTTTTCTTCCAGTGATCAGATCTCTGGGCTCAGCTCAAAACATGAGTCGTTTTGAAGCCTTTGTCATCCAGGGAGAGGTCAAAATTAAGAAGTTAGAGTGTGGAAAGTAAACATTAAAAGCAAAAGAGTGAGCACAGGACCACTGAGAATGCAGCTGAATGGCCTGGATTTAACAGCAGGTTTGCATGTCACTGCCTGACAACACAAGACCTGAACGCAACGTTTGAAAAGCTCGAACTTTACAATTACAGGAAAATGTATATTATCATTTGTCCAGAGATGAGGAAGTCAGAAGAGGAAACCCGCCAAAAAAGGTAAAAGCTCTTTTCGAGCTGAATCTGTCTGATTTGCCATAGTGACATCTCACTGCTTGTGAAAAAGAAATTGTATTTTTTTTAATCTAATTCTGGCAGATCAGAGGTAGATTAAAAATAATCCCAGTTCTGACCAACATAGTTTCTCTGATGTCCACAAGTATATGTCAACACATTCCTCCCAATAAAATGAGTCATTTCATGTTAGCAAAGAATGAATGCTGTGATTGTTGAAATGAGGCTTAAAATAAGGATGGAAAAATGCATCTTGAGCTCTTTTATAAAGCTAGACATGCAGGGGAGTCATGTGAACAGACCACTAACTGATTTAATACGATGTTTAGACATCAGCAGATGTCTGAACATTGGCGTCAATAAGCTGCCAAGCATCCATTCTACATATTCTGGGATAAAAAGTCTTTCTTTTGTCAAGAAAATCAGTTTTCTGTCAACACCTAAAGACAGGGACAGACTTTATTGATGTCATCATCCATATATCGTAGTACATTTCTATTTTAGTCCAAATATGCTTTTTGTTTCAAAATGTGTTTTTAATATTGCGTATCTGCTTTGAAAAACAAAAGAAAGACCAACTGTGACTTAGACGTGTTTTCAGCAATAAAATATGATAATGATGATAAAAAGTATGTGGCCCTTACAGATTCTTCTGTCACTTTTAAATGCACAAACAAGTTTTAATACTAAAGAAAAATAAACTAACATAAATACAAAATGTGGGCTGCACAGTGGTGCAGTTGGTAGAGCGGTTGCCTGACAGCATGAAGGTTCTGGGTTTGATTCCCAGCCTGGGGTCTTTCTGCATGCAGTTTGCATGTTCTCCCTGTGGATGGTGGGTTCTCTCCGGGTACTCCGGTTTCCTCCCACAGTCCAAAAGCATGACTGTCAGGTTAATTGGTCTCTCTAATTTCCCCCTAGGTGTGAGTGTGTGTGTGCATGGTTGTGTGTCTCTGTGTTGTGACTGGTGACCTGTCCAGGTGACCCCGCTTCTCACCCAGAGCATTAGCTGGAGAGGCACCAGCACCTCCTGACCCCACTGAGGGACAACGGTGTAAGAAATGGATGGAAATACAAAATGCCTTCTTTTGTTAAATTAGCCGTTATTAACTATATACATACTTGTGGTTCAGTTTCACCTGTCTGAAAACATGAAGTAAGCTTAAAGATCCTAAGAATACACAAACACTTTGCATCACTTTAAAGCAGCTTCAGCCAAATACACAGTAAAGTAAAGCATTACAACAAAATTCACAGCAGCAGAGGAGATGACAGCATTCAGTGTGTACATGAAAGCCTCTGCTATGCGATCCTGAGCTGTCTGTGTGGTATGAACACGAAGCTACACCGTAAACACAGGAGCAGAGTATCGGTCAGCTGCAGCTCAGCTGGTCAGCTGGTGCTCTGCAGATTCATGGAAGGCTTTACTGTACACAGATATGGTCACTTCCAGAGAACAACGTGCTTCCAGTCAACAAGAGAAGAGAAAAACAGGCTCTGTCAGCGGAACAAATGTTGGAAACAGAAGCACCAAGGTGAGATGTTACCTAGAAATATCAGATCGACACAAAGATGAAGCTACATTGTTCAAGTTTCACAGATGCAGAGAGATCCTGTCAATTTCTTAAGAGGAAAAATGAAAATCAACATCGAAATCGACATCACGGCAGATTTCATTCTGCTCCCATTTTACCGTTAAAACCTACAACTCAGCCATTTTCTTTGATGAGGTTCATAAAAGAAACTGCAGCTGCACAATATGACAAAAACTTGAAATTAAATGATCATTGCTGAACATTGAACTGACAATGATTACTAAATTTTAATTAATCTTCTCTCTATTTTCTATTATTAAAATGTCTAAATCACTCTTCGCAGTCCTTTATGTTTGTGACACAACAACGGTTGACAGTCTACATTTTGTGCCACTCTGCTTTGAACAGAGCAATATGACGAGTTTTCAGTTTATCAGCACAGCTTTGAAAGACCTAGTTTCTCTGCCATAAGGCCGGGGCGTCCCACTCTAACCCTGCAGGTCCTGCAGCTTTTAGATGTGTCCTTGTTCCAACACAGCTGATTTAAATGACTAAATTACATCCCCAACAAACCGTCCAGTTCTCCAGAAGGCTGGAAATGAATTGCTTGATTCAAGTTTTTGACCTAGGTTCACATCTGAAGCTGCTTCTCCATGGATGTGGCTTTAACTGGTTCCAGCCCAGTCAGATTTGTCATCATTAGTAGATCCTGTGTGGTTGTTCCCTGTTTTCATAAACACTCCAGGGGAGGTTCAAGCCGCACTGAGCCATTTATCACATGCAAGCCTTTTGATTGACAGCAGACTGCGTCTGTTGATTGGCCCATGATTTATGGCACTGGGAACTCCAAACAACAACATCTAAGCCACCGCAGTGGACCGACGGACATGGCGTCTGCTATCAGAGAGCTGCTCAGTGTGGAGGAGCGTAATTATGAGCAGCGCCAGGAACAGATGCATCAACTTTTGGAAACTGTGATTTAGCAGCTCTGCAAGCAGCACATCCCTCAGAAGAGACAAGGAATGAGAAACGGTGCAGCTCTGGTCAAGAAGAACTGAACCAGACATTAACCGGCTAGAGTGAGGCTTGGCGATGGAGAAATGGGCTAGAACATGTAGGACTCCGACCGTAACCCCCTACTGTGGGAACCACTTTTTAAGGCTGCTGTTGTAACTCAAGGAGGGTCAGGAGGTTATTATTAAATATATTTGACATTGAATTGGGACACCTATTTATTTTGCACATCAAACATCATCTCAACAGAGCTTCAACATGCTAAAACTATTCGTAATGCTGGTTGAAACTGTGTTCATACAGGATGTGGACACAACTAAACACTAGAATGTTTGTTTGTGACCAAAACGTTTCCACAGAGAAACACATTCAAGTTTCTTTATGTCCACAGCTTGAAGCAGTTACAACAAATGATTCACTGCATTGAAAAGTTGACCCCAGATACACCGGGGTCAACCAGAGATAATATGCGCCATCTTATCGCACTTATTAGATTTTCCACCAAACTGCAACAATTTTGGTGGAAAATTGCCTTTATTTAAGCAATGTTCAGTTCTTAGAATCGAAGGAGACTAAGAAACTTCTTCTTCTGTTAACGATGGTTTGAGCACATGCAGGAAGGAGGTTTTTAGTTTATAACGTTGGATTGTTGTTGGCCGTCTTACCTAGCAGCTGGACTCCGCGGGTCAGACCGTAAACATCAATGAGGGCCCAGAGCGGTTCCGCTGTCCGGACCCCGCTGAAGAACAGCATGGGACTGGACTCGTTAATGCGGTAGAAGACCCTGCCCTTCTTGTCGACCCAGAAGGCGATGATGTTTCCCTCGTTGGCAAACTCTTCGGGCAGGGCTTTGGCCCAGAAGCCGCTCTGGGACACCAGATCGGGACAGGCGTACTTCGGCAGGTTGTCGGGGTTTATCCTGGAGGGGTCTTTGGAGGTGAAGCCCAGACGCAGAGCTCCACTCCAGCAGCACTGCTTTTTAGTGATCTGAAGGAGAATAACATTCACTTTTTCTAACGTCATTTATAAAAAGAGAGCTCAAAGCAAATAGCTTTAAAAGAGGTCAGGAAATACCTTGAGGCGGACTTGCTCGTACAGCGCGATGGGCCTGTTGCTGAAGGTGATGGCGTTGCAGAAGCTGGCCTGCCTCTTGACGGTCTTCTGGGCCAGGTCCATGACTATCTGGGATCCCTTGGTGTTTGGATGGAAAAGGAGCGGGCTGACCGGGAAAGGTCCGCCGACGCTGCCGCACTGGATGGGCAGACACCTCTTGGGTTTGTGGTGACATCGGTGTGACGTGGACGGGAACGGGCCGCCGAGGGAGTCTGAGAACACAAACATGCCATGAATAATCAGCATCAGGGTGTCAAAGTTTGGTTTTTATGTTGGAATGTTTCACAAATACAAGCAATTTGAAAACAAGCTTCTCTGTCTAAAACGGAGCAACCAAACTGAAAATTGAGCTGAAATGCAAAATATTTCATCTATTTTGAAGGTTTTATTTGACTGAAATTGTCATGATCCAAAGATGTTTGAATTTTGATCATTTCCAAGTTGGTTTATTTATGCTCCACAGGTCATATTAGTTTAATGCTTTGTAGTTTATTTTTATGTTTTGTTCGTTGTACATTTGAATTTATTTTTTGAATTATCAGCATTTTTTTGTCTCCTTGGTTTCTTGATGAGTCTTATTTCATCTTCCTTTGTTTTAATTAGTTTTCCTTGTTTTCCTCCAGCAGCAGCTGTTCCACATCACCTCTGATTGTCTGATTGAGGCTTTTTGTTTTTCATTGTTTCTTTGCTCCACTGTCTGTGCTCCACTTCCTGCTAACCTTGTTTCAAGATCTGTAAGTTTTTCTTTTTTCATAAACCTTCAACAGGCGTTTCTCAAGTTGCTTTCTAAAAATAACAGACATGTCGTTCCTGCATGGAAAATAAAAATGTTTTCTTTACAAACCCTAATAAATTGACCTTTTTAATCAAGTGCAAGCGTAGAAAAAGTCTGTGTGTATTCTGGCGTAGAAGATGCAGCGCTCATGCAGTAGTTGGGAACAACAGGCTCTGGGGCCGATTTTACTGGAGTCATTAACTTTCAAGATGGAAATACAAAATTAACTTCTACATCTGAAGAAATCTGTGATTTCATTCTGGAAGCTTAAATGTCTCCCTGACAGTTTTA